TCTCTCTCTCTCTCCTTCTCTCCTCCTCTCTGAAATCAATCCTATATAATAAAAGCCTAATATACAAATTGAGTGAACGGCAGAATGACCGGTTGCTATGACACGCACTAACCACCAGGGGGCAGACGCTCAACGCAGGAGCTACCCCCACCAGCTTGCACCCAGGCCAGCCAAGCAGGTGCCAGCAGGGCGGCTTCCCCCCCACCCCCACAATCACCCCACTGGTTGCCCCGATCGCCAGCCAGGCCTAGGGACCCTGCCCATGCACAGATTTCGTGCATCGGACCTCTAGTAAAAATATATTTAAAAAAGAAAATACACACCATTTCATGTACATGCAACCCCATCTGGGGAGCCTCACTCTCGGGGTTTTATGTAAGTCTTTTATGTGCGGGTTGCCAATAGCTGGGAGAAAGTTTTCCGTGGTCCTTCAGCACCGAATTACAATGGAATTCCGACAGAGTTACCCAGAACTGCCCCCTGGAGTGCCCAGCGGGGACACGGAGGTCACTGTCCTCATGAATGGCCCAAGAAATTAATAGGAGCCGAGCCTTCCTGTGTCGCAGCTGGGCGGAACAGTGCCCTGTTCATGGCTGAAAATATGTCCTGGCCGTGGCCACCGCAGCTGTGCCGGGGCAGCCGGCCCTCGGAAGCGCTGCAGAGCGTGGGGGCCTGTTCCCGTCACTCCGCCCTCTTCTGCCGTCAGACACATTTCCTTGCTCATTACCAGCCGCACAACAGCCACGTTTGTCTGTGAGAGACGTTCAGGCTCGGAGACGCTTTCACCAAAGACACGGCCTTCCTTCCTCGGGCTTGCCCCCCCTCCACAGCCTCTCATCCTCACTCAATTTTTTTTTTAATATGTTTTTATTGATTTCAGAGAGGAAGGGAGAGGGAGGGAGAGATAGAAACATCAGTGATGAGAGAGAATCATGGATCGGCTGCCTCCTGCACGCCACCTACTGGGGTGGAGACCACAACCTGAGCATGTGCCCTTGACCGGAATCGAACCTGGGACCCTTCAGTCTGCAGGCCGACGCTCTATCCACTGAGCAACACCAGCCAGGGCTCAATTTTTTTTTTTCATTGACTTTTGCAAGCCACTCAAGTCCCTGAATGATGCGCCTCACCTCCAGGCATGCCAGGACCATGGCCTATGGCACAGACACGCTAACTCACCTACAGGTCCCTCTACCTAGCACGGTCTTGAGCTCTGAGCCTTGGCACAATGGTCTGCACCTACTGAAGCCCCAATCAATGGTTCTATGCCCAGCTGTCTGTCTCTTCTCATTCTCAGAGAAGCTGACAATCTGTAGCATCGTCAGCATTGCCCTCTGTCTGTCTCTCGTACATCTCTTTCTGGGCTGGTCCGATCTCTCCCCTAACATCACGTGGTTCCAACAAAAAAGACTCCTTTAAAACCTATCTGCTTCCCTTTTTATTTGTGAATAGGAAATTATTTTTTTAAATGTAGTTCATCACCCAATCTAGGGTCTTTTTGAGAGTGAGCGGGACACTATTCATCGTTATGCTGGGCCATCTGGTCACCCCAGGTCTGAGGCATTGCCCAACTGTGAGCCTGACAAGCCCAAAGAGCACACCAGCCAGAGTGAACAGGGCTTGCCTGACCCCCTGGCAGCAGTTTTGGGGTTCTGCGTTTTCTGACCTCACGCTCCCCACCCGCACTCGCCCTAGTGGATGGCAGCTCTAATTCAAACGCCACGATGCAGAGGTAGGACTTACTTTTTAATTCTTTCTCCAAAGGAAGCTACTTCCTCCAAGATGTTCTGAACTGTGGAAACGATGTCCTGTACCATGTAGATTCTTTCGATGATGCCCTTTTTCTCGGATTCCTAAGAAATGTAAAAGAAAGATTGGACGCAGTTACGCTCTCGTTATTGTTCCGGTCTAGAAAGGAGTGTGCTGTGCTACATAATAGCATGGTTATCATCCACAGAGTGACTCTAACAGATGTCACATTTCTTGCAACATAAATATTTATTTATTTCTGATTTCAGAGAGGAAGGGAGAGGGAGAGAGAGAGAGATAGAAACAACAGTGATGAGAGAGAATCATTGATTGGCTGCCTCTTGCAGGCCCCCTACTGGGGACCAAGCCCACAACCCAGGCATATGCCCTTGACCAGAATCAAACCCGGGACACTTCAGTCTACAGGCTGACGTTCTAGCCACTGAGCCAAACCGACTAGGGCTACATATATATATATTTTTAATTAATTTCAGAGAGGAAGGGAGAGGCAGATAGAGATAGAAACATCAATGGTGAGAGAGAATCATGGATCGGCTGCCTCCTGCATGCCCCACACTTGGGATCAAGCCTGCATGTGCCCTGACCAGGAATCAAACCGTGACCTCCTGGTTCATAGTCGACGCTCAACCACTGAGCCACGCCTGCTGGGCCGTAAGTATTGACTGAATCCACAAAATGTCCTGCCCATCCATCCAGATGCAAGCACTCTTGGTGTGCAAGCTTCCCGTGCTCCCACGATGAATGGAAGCCCCATGGAGCCAAGACCTTCATCTCCCCGTGGAGGCGATGCGTCTGCCAGGGAACTCTGTCATTCCCTTTGGCTGACCCTGGCTTCCTCCTTTGTCTTCACCAGGCTATCGCCAGCTCCCCTGTGCCCACCCCACCCCCCGGCACAGTGCCTCAGAGATGGTTCCGGCAGGTAACAACGTGGCATGTTGGCTATGCAGACGCTATGGCTTCCTAGCACTGTGGCTTCTTAGTCAAACGCTGCTGCATTTAAAAAATACATATTTTTGCCCTGACCGGTTTGGCTCAGTGGATAGAGCATCAGCCTGCGGACTGAAGGGTCCCAGGTTCGATTCCGGTCAAGGGCATGTACCTTGGTTGCGGGCACATCCCCAGTAGGGAGTGTGCAGGAGGCAGCTGATCGATGTTTCTCTCTCATCGATGTTTCTAACTCTCTATCCCTCTCCCTTCCTCTCTGTAAAAAATCAATAAAATATATTTATTTTAAAAAGGGGAATTAATTAGCAGAGATATTTTAATATTGCTATTTGCCCTTTCTCTATAATAGAAGTGTGAGAGATGAAAGGAAATTAGTAAAATGTATATGAAAATAATATATAAATTTATTAAAACGCTGCTCTTGTGGTCTCCTCGCTCTGTGATCGAGGCAAGTTCCTGATCCCTTTCTGAGTTGCAAATTTGTCATCTAGAAAAGGGAGATCATAGGGAGTCCTTGGAGAGGTAAACAACACATCAGCACTTGGTACACTAGGCACTTCACACACGTAAGCCCGTCCCCTTCAAGAATGCAAAGAGCCGGGCCGGTGTGGCTCAGGGGTTGAGCCTTGTCCCATGAACCAGGAGGTCACAGTTTGATTCCCGGTCAGGGCACATGCCTGGGTTGCGGGCTCAATCCCCAGTAGGGGGCGTGCAGGAGGCAGCTGATCCACGATCCTCTCTCATCATTGATGTTTCTCTCTCTCCCTCTCTGAAATCAATAAAATATATGAAGAGAAAATAAAAAAGAATGCAAAGGGACAAAAGGCTGAATAAGCAACTCTCGGTCCAGTCAAAACAGCCCTGGGGTTGATTTAAGTTTCAAAAGCAATGAACTTCCAGGACAAGCCTACTCATGTCGCCCCGTGCTGTCTGAGCTTATCTGGCAGCTCTATCGGCTCCACGCTGGCTTTATTTACACGTTTCCGATGGAACCGGGGAATGTGGCGGTAACACAGTTTAGCAAACACAACGTTACATCTGCGGCTGCTACCCGATTCCCCAGGAGGCGTCGCGGGGATCCATTCAGAAAGACAGACCTGCCACCTCACGCTCTGACGTTTTCCGTACCATAGGATGCTTCCAATTATTCGAGGGAAATGAGTAATAAAAATTGTGATAGCCGCTGGTGCCGTTCAACCAGCAAACCATGTCACAGCGGCGAACAACGTGTTTTTTAGATTTCGAGGGAGAGTGGATTTTACTTCTTACGAATTTGAAAGCACCCAGGGGCATGAGTAAGAGTCACATGACTTAGGGTCTCGTTTACGGCATGATGGGAGAGATGAGAGCGTGGAACTTTCCGAGACCCAGGCTTCACATTTCATAATGCTCCTCTGTTCTGTATAAAGCAAGAGTGGCACTTGTCGTAAGAAAAAGAACGAGAATGCCAACTTTATAACCTAAACATATAGACTACATACAAATAAAGGCAAAA